ACTGCTTTCCACAGAGGTTGCACTAGTTTACACTCCCACCAACAGTGTAGGAGTGTTCCCTTTTTGCCACATCCTCTCTAACAACTATTGTTTTCTGAGTTATTGATAATATTAAGACTGATTAAGATATTTCATTTAGCATAATTGTGACCTTTAGGACAGCTTTATTCAAAGATGAAACAAACAAAAAGTACCTAACATTTTTGTATTGTAAGTTAATAAGGAAGATGAATAAACTAAATTTTGTTAATTTTTTTTTTTTGAATCAGAGTCACAGTCTGTTGCCCAGGCTAGAGTGCAGTGGCATGCTCACAACCACCCCAGCCTCGACCTGCTGGAACCACAGGCATGTGCCACCACGCCCAGCTAATTTTTATTTATTTATTGTAGAGACAAGGTCTCACCATGTTGCTCAGGCTGGTCTCAAACCCCTGAGCTCAGGTCAATCCTCTTGCCTCCACCTCTCAAAGTTCTGGGTTTACAGGCTTGAGCCACCGTGCCCTGCTAAATTTATTTTTTAAAGGGAAGGAGTTGGTGTGAAGTTGAAGTTTTGAATCTAGATAAAAAAGACTACTACTGTAGCATTAATAACATATTTTTTCCACTGTTGACATTAGTCATTTTTTTGAAGTTTTCTCTGCAAATATGAGAACTGTCACTATAGTTTATTAACTTATTATTTTCTCTAGTTCCTCCAGGCCAAGGATTTGGAGTTCCACCAGGTGGAGCAGGCTTTTCTGGCTATCCACAGCCACCCTCACAATCTTATGGTGGTGGTCCAACACAAGTCCCACTACCTGGTAGGTACCAGCTGTCCAGAGAAAAACAATATCATGATAATTTGAATTATTCAGTTGCCATTGAGAGAACTTAGTTTGTGTTTGAGATAATCTTCAGTAAATGTTCATGTATTTCTACAAATAATTTTAAACATATGACTTTATGAAACACATTAATTTGATTAAAAAGCTTAATCAGTAAAATGGAAATAAGGACCCACTTTTTCTATTAAAAATCTGTCCCAAGCCGGGCTCGGTGGCTCAGCCTGTAATCCTGTGCCTTTGGGAGGCTGAGGTGAATGGATTGCCTGAGCCCGCAGGTTCAAGACCCGCCTGGGCAGGCGAGACCTCGTCTCTACACTAAAATCAAAAAATTAGCTGGGCGTGGTAGCGCATGCCTGTAATTCCGGCTACTCGAAAGGCTGAGGCAGAAGGATCGCCGGAGCCCAGCAGGTTGAGGCTGCAGTGGCCGGGAGCGGCCACTGCACTCCAGTCTGGGCGACAGAGTGAGACTCCAACTCAAAAACTAACAAACAAACAAAAAAATCTGTCCCGAAGCCAAAAAAGCAAAACCTTCAGAAACTTCTCTGCCCACTCCTGTACCACAAGAGAAACTACCCCCAGAACCATATCCTGACAACCATTCCAGATGGGATCAGAATTTATTCTGGCTTAAGTATGGAAAAAATATCTGTTAGGATCTTATGTACAACATAGAATATTAAAAAGGCTCTTATAACCAAAGTTGGTTTTCAGTTCAGTATATTATAATGTTTAAAAAATTATCCTTGTGTTTATCATAGTGTGAATGTTCTCATATGTTCCCATATTCAGTGCTGTTTTGAAAAATTAAATCTCATAAAACCGGTTTGCTGTATTATTATTATTATTTTTTAATATATAGGTGGCTTTCCTGGAGGACAGATGCCTTCTCAGTATCCTGGACAAGCTCCTTACCCTAGTCAGGTATTTTTGCTCCTACTTTTTAAGTCTACTCTAAGTAACTGAATGATGGCAAAGAAGGGTACCATTCCTTTACTGAGGTTTCCATGAAGCAGAGGAAATGGTCTGTTACAGTAATTTAAGACTTTAATCTTTGCTTCTGATATCTTTGGTCCATCTGCTTAAAATAGTTTCCTGATGATTTTAATAAGACAAGCATAGGTGTTTCTCATAGGTGATAATGCTCATAACTTTATTCTAGAGATTCACTTGTGCTCTTGGCACTGGTTTTAGTTCTTTTTCTCTTCCTTTCTCTTACTAGCAATTATAACTATGAACTTGAGTGACTGGGTAATGGGTATTTCTGGCAGTGATTTATATAGGGGGGTTTTGTTTTCCATTTTTGCCTTTATAACTTTTCACTCTTTTTTCAGATCAGTACAGAATCTTTTCCTTCCTATCCTGTTTTTTCTCCTGTTTCTTTGGATTATAGCAGTGAAGTGAGTAAGGTTTTCTAATGTTCACTAATCAATATGTCCCCTATATGTGCCTTCATTTGTTTGTGATTGTACTTATCTCTCAACACTTCCTTGATGGCTTGACTGTATCTATTTTATCTTTATGTCCCTGTAGTTGTTGGGTGGGCTTTAAACAGTTAAGTCTGTTGAATTGATTTATCAGTAGCTGCAGAAAGCTTCCCATATCAAATCTTTGCCCTATCTGCATATAGCTCTTTAATACTATATTTTATTCTTAAATTGCCTTGGTAATTTTTTTATAGCCTATGTGAGTAACTAAGAACATAATAACAGCACACTTTTATGCTTACTTTTATCTTGATTTACTTACTGATTGCCAAACTATATAGTCATAAAGATTAATATTTTGAAGCTTGCTTTAGGCTGGGGAAAGGGGATTAAACTATTGGAAGAGAAACACTTTAGCGATTTTTTGGCTCACTTTTCTGATTTGAGGAATTTGAGCTCCAGAGAGGGTGAGAAACTTGTCTAGAGCCATCCAATTAGTGAAGAGCTGAGACTGGATCCTGGCTCTTCTGACTTCTAGACCATTGGTCTCTCTGTTACACAGTGCTACTTTGCTGATACAGTAAATGATATTCTTCCAAAGCACATAGTAAATTGCTTTCAACCCTTTTTTATTTGTTGAAGTTGATTGCTAATCACATTATAAATCTGTAGTTACTTTAATCATTTTTGATATGAGAATTTTGATTTTAATTTAAGCATGTATATAATTTCAGAGACATCATGTATAACTTAATATGAAAGATTTTTAAACATAAAACGCTAAAAGTAAAGCACAAACACAATTTACTATGTAACTTATTTTGTATAACATTATCCACCATAATGTAGAACAAAATCCAGAAAGTAGAAGTTAACAGAGTGCAGAGTTGTAGATTTTGAGGACCTTTTACATGGAAGTGAAATAGGCTACCTGGTGAGGGGTGAGCTCTCTGTCACCTAGTCTTCAGGTAGGCATTGATCAATGTGGGTGTATGGATGTGTCAGTATGTATCAAGGAAAATATAAAGACATTTTTGTCTTGGGTGGTAAGTTGGACCAATTGATCTCTCTTGACTGATCCAATTCTCTAACTCTATGATAGTTTTCAGCAAGAAGTTTGGTATCAAATGGGTGTCAAAGGAGGATATCAATGAATGGAACTTTTGGTGGCAGACTGTTCTGAGAAAGCTCCCCTAGAGTTTTGACCTTAAGAACACAGAACCTGATTTCTTAGAATTTATTATAATGCCTAGAGGATTATATAATAGTATTCTTGAAAATTTCTATCAAACTTAGACTTTCAACAGAGAATGCATAAAAAACATTGTCCTAAAGATGAAATATGAAATCAATTTTTTGTAGAAAAAAAGATGACAAAAAACGAGACTCATCAGACAATAGTACGTGATGAGAGTTAGCTTCTCCTATCTAGTCCAATATGTTATAAACAAAGGCTTCTACCCTACTTAGGATTTTAGTGACAGTGGTTACATCAAAGGAATCTTTATTAGTTTCTTAATACATAAAGACTCACGTGAGGGTAGTATGTTGAAAAACATTTTTAAGCCGGGCTCGGTGGCTCAGCCTGTAATCCTGCGCTTTGGGAGGCTGACATGAGTGGATTGCCTGAGCCCACGGGTTCGAGACCCACCTGGGCAACTTGGCAAGACCTCATCTCGACAATAAATCAAAAAATTAGCCGAGTGTGGTAGCGCGCGCCTGTAGTTCCAGCTGCTTGGAAAGCTGAGGCAGAAGGATCGCCGGAGCCCAGCTGGTCGAGGTTGTGTTGACCGGGAGCGGCCACTACACTCCAGTCTGGGTGACAGAGTGAGACTCCAACTCAAAAAAAAAAAGAAAAAGAAAAAGAAAAACATTTTAATATTTGCTACAAGTACAATAATTTTACTTTATTAAGACTACTATTGGAATATTTCTTGATAGCTCTCTGCTTATATTCCTCATTTTGAAACTAGTGGAAGATGGATGCTATTTTGGAGGTATTGGGTTAAATAAAATGTGTTGTTAAAATTAAAAGTTTTTAAAAAGTAGTGAAGTCATCATCTTACTTCATCCCATCCCTCTTAAGCCTTGATTTGAATATTTTAAGAAAACAACTAAAGTATTTTGGACCAGGCTTAGTGGCTCACATCTGTAATTCCTGGCTGAGGTGAAAGGACCACTTGCGGCCAGGAGTTCGAGACCAAGCTGGGCAATATAGTAAGACCCTCATCTCGACAAAAATTTAAAAAAGGTAGCCAGGTGTGGTAATGTGTACCTATAGTTCCAACTACTCCGGAGGCTGAAGTGAGATGATCACTTAAGCCCAGGAGTTCAAGGTTACAGTGTGCTATGATTGCATCACTGTACTCCAGCCTGGGTGATGGAGCAAGTCTCTAAAACATAAAAAATAGAAGAAAACTATTGAATTATTTCATAGCTTTGTATTAAAAAAACTAAGTTTTAATTTTGAAATAATTTTAACTTGCAAAATAATACAAAGAATTCCTATATACTCTTTACTTAGATTCTTCAAATGTTAACTTCCTACATAAATGTAATATAATGATTGAAATCAGGAAATAACATTAATTTAGTACTATTACTCAACCTACAGACCCTATTCAAATTTCACCAGTTATATATCAGTGCTGTTCTTTTCTGGTTCAGGATCAAATACTGGATGAAGCATTGCGTTTATTATGTATCTTAAGTTTCCTTTAATCTGAAATAGTTCCTCAGTCTTTGGTGTTCGTGACCTTTGACACTTTTGAGAGCACTATCAATTATTTTGGAAAATATATATTGGATTTGTCTGATATTTCCTCATGGTTAAATCCAGGTTATGCCTTTTTAGCAGTAAAACCACAGAAATTATGTTTTGTCCCCAGTGCATCTTATCAGGAGGCACTTATCATTGACTTATTTCATCACTAGTAATAATTTTGATCACTCGTGATCAAAATTCAATTATCACTTATTTCATTACTAGTGATAATTAAGGTGGGGGCTGCAAGTTCTCTGCTGTAACACTGTAGACTATGCAAATATCCTGTTTCTTATTATACTTTTGCCTCCAAATTTTAGTAAGCATTAGTGATTCTTGCCTGAAATAATTATTATCATAGTGTTTATGAAATAGTGATTTAAAAAAAAATTCCCACATAGATTTCTATGCATTGTTTTATTATTTTTTTGAGTCAGAGTCTCATCCTATCGCCCAGACTGGAGTGCATTGGCACGCTCATGGCCACCACAGCCTCCATCTGCTGGGCCCAGGTGATCCTTCTGCCTCAGTCTTCCAAGTAGTTGGAACCACAGGCATACACCACCACGCCCGTCTAATTTTTCTTTATTGTAGAGATGAGATCTCGCCAAGTTGCCCAGGCTGGTCCGAACCCCTGGGCACAGGCAATCCTCTTATCTCAGCCTCCCAAAATGCTGGGATTACAGGTGTGAGCTACCATGCCTGGCTAATTTCTATTTTAAAAATACAGTCGCTGCTTCACTTTCTGGTTTGTTTCCTTATAAAGTAGATGAAAAATATTGTACCTCCCAGAATTTCTAATCATCACTTTGATTTTGTACATTTCTTGTTATAAAATGTTATATTTTATATATAATAATCAGGGCCCATATAGGAAATGAAGAGATATTACCAAAATTATGTTGCTAGTTTGAAATCTTATTGAGCACTGATGTTCTGCTTCACTAAAGCCATCATTATATTCTTCTTTCTTTTTTTTTTTTTAATAGCTTGCTTTTATTAGAGAGACGTGGGGTACAAGCCAGGATTAGGTACATAAGTAGTCTACATGCAGGTGAAGTTTGGGCCTCCAATTGGTTCTCACTTCCCTGATTTAGGACCAGGTGCCCTTTGTGTTGTTACTGTCTTCTGTTTTTAAATCAAACATTGTCGCTCATCTCACAACTATTCAGGGATCAATCTGTTTCTTTTCTTCCTATTCTACCAAAAAGGAAACCAAGGCATAAGAAGATTGTGACTTTAATTTCACAAGTTTGGCCATCTTGTCTCCTGGAAGTTTGGTGTCTGGCTATCTGTTGGCAGGAGTAAAATCTGTCCTGAAGGGGGATAGGTCTTTCTTGTCTGTTCCAGAATGAGCCCTGGTAATAAAATGCTCATATCCTTGCCTTACAACCCAAACACTGGCCTTCTTACCTAAGAGTGATGTCTAGGGAAGTCTTTAAGTTTCCTTATTGGAAATTTATTGGAAATCAACTTGGATTTTATGCCTTTTGTTCTCAGCCTGCTGCGATGACACAGGGCACTCAAGGAACAATCCGACCAGCTGCCAACTTTGATGCTATGAGAGATGCAGAAATTCTCCGTAAAGCAATGAAAGGTTTTGGTAAGGAAATAGATATTTATCTTTTATAATAAGTGATGGTGATTGATTATAAAGTACAAATCATCTTATATCATAAACCAAGTTTATGAGTCAACCTGGGTGCACACACCTCAATTCAATCTGGTGCCTAGTACCTTGTAAGGATCCTAAGAGATGACCTCAAGGAGCATCCATCACAGGCTTTATCCTTACTTAAGCATGTATGGTTCTTCCAGGGACAGACGAGCAGGCAATTGTGGATGTTGTGGCCAACCGTTCAAATGATCAGAGGCAAAAGATTAAAGCAGCTTTTAAGACCATGTATGGCAAGGTAAGTTTGTTTTTTCTGGAGTGAGCACCTTGGATGCTGTCTTTTTATTAGTATCTGTGGTACAAAGGAGAGACAACTAGACTTTAGAGTCCTGGAGTGGTATATTCACTATTTTTCTTAAAAGCCTTTTTCATTCTAGAATAGTACTTATACTTATCTCATAGTCATACCTTATATTGTATCTTGTATATGATAGATGTTCAGTAGAAACTAGATTATGACCACGATCATGATTGCACATGGTGCTCAATCTTCTCCTTACAGTGGGAATCAAGGCTTATTTACATAACCCCTGCTTATTCTGAGTCCTTAGCATCATCATCTACTCCTCTCCCTTGCTCTAGACATGCTTGGTATTACAATTACATGGAATTACTTGCCATTCTCTATATGTGCTGCGCTCTTTTATAGTTAGTTCTATGTTTTGTACATGCTATTTTCCTCACTTTGAATACCATTTCTTTTTTTGTGTGTGGCAAACAACTTCTTCATAACCTGGCTTAAATATCAGCTACTCTGTGAAGTTTCTTTCATTGCTCTGGGTTGAATTTAGTTGCTTCTTTCACTGTGATCCCCTAACACTTTGTAAAACCTCTGTTATCACTAATCTCATTGCCCTCCCCAAAAACTGTGAGCTCCCTGGGACAAACTATGCCATAGTCATCTTTATATTTATAGCACCAAGTATACAGTGACAAGTTGTCAATTAGTATTTGTTGAATGGATAATCAGTACCAAAACCAGCAAAATTCTATGGTTAAAAAGTGCAGTTGTTCCTCAGATATAATGGGAAAGACTAGGCAGCATTGTTTAGCCATTTATATAGGAATCCTAAACATTTTCTGATGCCCTCTGTATCTAGTTTACTTTTCTCAGAATGGGGTAGCGATCCATTGCTGGTCTCACCTTACCTTTTCTACTCTTCCTTTTTCTCTCTGCACACCAAAACTGATTATGTAACACAAACCTTAGATTTTCTTAAGGTTCAACATTAGACTGACTTCTCTCACAAATATATTTTTGGAGTTACGAATTTTTTTAGTTCATATCTAGTCTATGCTATGCTGTCTTGAATGTTCTCATATATTGCTTTAGAATTAAAACTCAACTCCCAATCTAATTTCCCTACCCTAGCCACCTCTTTTCTTTACTTACTTTTAAGAAACTACTATTTTCTAGTCTGCTGTGGATTTTTGAGTGCATGTTTTTCTTCATCAGTCAGTGAATTTTTATTCAGTACTGCATACCAGGACTGCTTTGTCCTAGCAGTTGACTATTTACTATGCGTTATTGTTCTAATCTGTAAAAAATGACTCTTTAAAATGTATCTTTTGTCTGCTTTGTTCCTTGTTATTTCCATTGCCACTGCTGAAGTCCAAGCCTTTATTACTTCTTATCTAAATATTCCAGTAGTCCAGTGTTCTCATCTATAGTCTCTTTGTTGCCATAGTCTGTCCTGCACATTGTTGCTACATCCGTGTCATTTTCTTGCATAAATATTTCCAGTGGCTTCTTCCAACAAGCAGAATCTAGTACACATTCTTTAGTTTGGCACTAAATATAATAATCCAGGATTTAGTTACAACTTTGGTTTGCTCATCTATTATGAAAGCTTTCCTTTAACAAAATCAATTGTCTTGTTCTATTGAACAAATTTGTTCATTCTTGCCGCTATACTAGTGATTCTCAGTCGTAACTAAACATCACAATCTCCTTTAGAATGTAAAAACCCACAAAGAATCTCTGATTCTTAGTCCTGGACATCAGCTGATTTTAATGAATTGTCAAGGCTGGGAAACCCTTTTCCTTATTTGTGTTTCTTCTTACCTGAAATACCTTTCTCCTTCCTCTTTGCCTGCTACTTTGTATGTTCTTTTCTAAGTTCTCTAGCCACTTTAAGCTTTTCCTGTGTCAACTTTCTCTTTTACTTATTTCTGTGCTACTCATCTGGTGCTTGAGTATAAATTGCCTTATAGTTATCTTTCCAAATAAGAACAAGATGCTGATGATTTATACTTCCTCATGGAATCAAGAACTAGTTTTTTTAAATTATTATTTTTTTAGGATGTGGGTTACAATGCAGGGTTAGGGTACATAAGTGGTTATCGTACAGGTAAAGCTTGGGCCTCCCTTTGGTCCCCACCTTTCCTGGTTTGAGATCAGGTAAGATGTTATGTCTTCCCTGCGCCCCTCCCCCCAAGCAGTGTCCCACTACTATCAATCCCTTTCTTTCTTACGGTATTATGATAAATGTTCAGGATCTGCTCGTGAGTCTCAGATCTTTTTCTCTGTGACAGATCACTGAGTATTACAGACTCTAAATCCATCCAAGTTGCTCCGAAAAACAGTTTCTTGTACTAAGTAAATATCTATTTATCATTTTGTTAATTTGAATTGTTCTTTGTTTCATGTATTTTGTCTTTATACCTGGTACAGTGGTAGAACTGCTGTAAGAATTTCTTATTAAAAAGAAAAAGAATCTCATATTATTTATTGATAGAATGGATAAAATACATCTGCTTGAGTGTAACAAATGTGTAAGTGTAACAAACTTTATATACAGGGAGGGAGGGACCCAAAAAAACCGGATTTATCCTTTGGAGGGCAGGTCTCTTGTAGTGTACTTGGAATTTGTTCCTCCGGATCAAACCATCGACCAGTTTTTGTCTGGAGGTTTTGAGAAGGTCACGTCACAATTTGCGGAAGAAACGTCTCAAGTTGTGGCAAAGGAGTTACTAGTTCTTCCACCCTAACAACTTACCTACCTACGCCACACTGAGTGCTCAGCAGTTTTTGACCCAAAATGGCACAAGCCCCAGGCTCGATTCACCCGATCTTGCCCCAAGCAACTTTTTTTGTTTCCCAGATGAAAAGTCCTCAAAGGGGAAACATCTTGCAGTCTGGAATAGGTGAAACAAAAGAACAACAGGAACACTAAAAAGTCATCAAAACTGACAAGTTCAAAAACTGCTCTGAGCAGTGGAAAAAGCATCTCAAAAGGCGTATTGCATCAACCGGAGAGTACTTTGAAGGTGACTGAAGTTTAAACATGGAAGAATAAATGCACAATTTTTTATAAATAAATTCCGGATTTTTTGGGGATTCCCTTCATATTTACTTATTTCTTAGTATATAATAATCGATATGGAATTTAGGTTTTTTTGTAAAGCAATTGCATTTCATTTTTTATATTTTCCTTGAAAGATTTAAGCAACAAAATTTTGAAAAGCATATATACATAGCTTGCATTTGTAATTACATAGGATTTAATCAAAGATCTCAAGTCAGAGTTAAGTGGAAATATGGAAGAACTGATCCTTGCCCTGTTCATGCCTTCTACATATTACGATGCCTGGAGTCTACGGAATGCAATGAAGGTACTACATGACATTTATTATATATACATTTGTCCTATTTCATATGTAAAACCCCACAAGTTATGGTGGTTCTGAATTTATGGGGATAATTAGAGCAATACATTATTTCACATCATATGAATGTATAGAAATTTTCAGTTTTAGAGGACAAAGAAATATTTGACTAAACAGTAAGATTTAATTACTTTCAGAAGTTTTGTTTTCTTTTGTATAATTCCCCCTCTTCATTTCATATAGGGAGCAGGAACTCAGGAACGTGTGTTGATTGAGATTTTGTGCACAAGAACAAATCAGGAAATCAGAGAAATTGTCAGATGTTATCAATCAGAATTTGGACGAGACCTTGAAAAGGACATTAGATCAGATACATCAGGACATTTTGAACGTTTACTTGTATCCATGTGCCAGGTGAGTTATAGCATAAATATTTGTGTGTTGGTGGAGGGAACATACTTCATTGTCTGTTGCCAGTGAACATTTTTTATTCTTTTTATTATTTTGCCACCTTAGAATATTGCCATCTTTAAGAGGAACATCACAGAATCTGCTGTACAGATTTCTCTGTAGTTACTATTGGAATTTATTTCTGCAAATCCAGCTTTTGTAAGGAATCAAATTAACCTGTTAGGTTGTATGGAATCAGAACCAACTTGAGGCTCTGTGGCTAGCATGAGGATGAAACTGTATGTTTCAGCTTAGCACTGCCCTACCCTGCTGAAAACAATCAGCTGAAGACATGCAGGGCTGCCAGAAAAGTACTAGAAAAGAGTGTGTGAGGAGAGCCAGACATGCAGGAAAATGTTTTAGGGTTCACAGAAATACAGTGATTAGCACCTTTCTTATTCTGATTTCCCAGATGTGCTGGAGAATTGACAGAAACTACTCCAAATAGGGAATCTGGAATGTTATTAGAAATGCACTTAGAATGAGATGATGATGGTGTATTTGAAAAAAATGATGCCAAAGACTAGTATACTGATTAAATACCAGGAGTTATTGGTATCCTGCTAGTGCACAGAGTCGGACTGTCTTGAGGGATCTAGAAGTAGAGGAGGGACTCTTAGAGCCAAGGAAGGTGGTTGCAGAAAGAATAGTATGCAAACATGAATGATGTGGAAATCAGAAAAGAAAAAAATGAATTAGAGGAAATGGAATTTACCTACATCAGAGTAACAGACCAGAGAAGGTAGGGTAGGGTTTAAAAGGAATAAGAAATAGCCGGGCACGGTGGCTCAGCCTGTAATCCCGCGCCTTTGGGAGGCTGAGGTGAGTGAATTGCCTGAGCCCGTGGGTTCGAGACCCGCCTGGGCAGGCGAGACCTCATCTCTACAATAAATCAAAAAATTAGCTGGGCGTGGTAGCGCGCGCCTGTAATTCTGGCTACTCAGAAGGCTGAGGCGGAAGGATCGCCGGAGCCCAGCAGGTCGAGGCTGCGATGGCCGGGAGTGGCCACTGCACTCCAGTTTGGGCGACAGAGTGAGACGCCAACTCAAAAGAAAAAAAAAAAAGAAAGAAAGAAAAACAGGAATAGACATTTAATGCTAAAAAAAAAGATTACAAAGACTTTACATGAGGTTTTCCTGAATATGAGCGGAGGAATAGCTTCCCAGGAAAATGGGACTGTATTGTGTATGTGAATCCAAAGGCAATAGTCTGGAAAATTTGTCCTGAGTACCTTTTCCTGTGCTGTATTCAGTTGCTCATTTACACTGTGCCTCTACATATTCCTTGTGCCAGCTGCTCCAGTAGACAGTTCTTCACTTTCAGCATTTTGTTCCCAAGACTGCAGAGGGCAGCCTAAGCTTAAACTCTTCCTCCCTTCTTCCTTCCCTCTTATTCCAGGGAAGAGTTTGGTATACAAATTGGCACAGTCTAGCAGTGCTGTATTGCTTCTAAATGCTCATGCATCTGTTTTGTGTATGCATTCATAGTAAATACTTAATTAAGATTATCCTTAAATGGCTGGTCATGGTGGCATGTACCTATAGTCCCAGCTACTTGGTAGGCTGAGACAGGAGGATCACTTGAGCCCAGGAGTTTGAAACCATAGTACACTATAATCATGCTTGTGAACAGCCACTGCATTCCAGCTTGGGGAACATAGCAAAATCCCATCTCTTTTTGAAAGAAGATACTTAAATGAAGAAAAGGAAGTTTATGAAGCCTCCATGTTATATCCTGCCTCCCTAGACTTAAATTCCTTGAGGGCATAGACCTTATTTCTCTTGTGTCCTTACCACATAATATAGTACCAGACATGAAGTAAATACTTAATATCTTTTGGTTGCATAAATAAATACATAGTGGAACTCAGTACAGTGCATATTCATCTTAAAGCTCAATTAAGGAGAGTTTTAATTTCTTCTTTTGGTGGTAGTTTATATCTCCTAGTAGAGATATTTTTGTTTAAACTTTTTCTGGTTTAATTTAGCTCTCAAAGCCCATAAAGCCCTCATTTTAACATAGCCTCATTAAACCATGATCAAATATTATAAAATCTAAAACTGACAGTGTAAAATAGTACTAGTTGTATTTCCATGCATGGAAATGAAAGATATGTATGAGACACTATGCATTAATCTTTACTAAATTGTCTCCTTAAATCCAATAGTGAGCTGGGCTTGGTGGCTCAGCCTGTAATCCCAGCACTTTGAGAGGCTAAGGTGAGTGGATTGCCTGAGCCTGCGGGTTCAAGACCTGCCTGGGCAACTTGGCGAGACCTCATCTCTACAATAAATCAAAAAAATTAGCCGGGCGTGGTAGCGCACTCCTGTAGTTCCAGCTACTCGGAAGACTGAGGCGGAAGGATCACCGAAGCCCAGGAAGTCGAGGCTGCAGTGGCCGGGGGCAGCCACTGTACTCCAGTCTGAGTGACAGAGTGAGACTCCAAGTCAAAAAAAAAAATCCAATAGTGACTAGATTGGAAAAGGTAATTTAGTAGAACTTTTATTTCTTCTAATTCCTGCTTTCCTATTGCAGGGAAATCGTGATGAGAACCAGAGTGTAAACCACCAAATGGCTCAGGATGATGCTCAACGTCTCTATCAAGCTGGTGAGGGGAGACTAGGGACTGATGAATCTTGCTTTAACATGATCCTTGCCACGAGAAGCTTTCCTCAGCTGAAAGCTACCATGGAGGCGTATTCTAGGGTATGAACTTTTTCCGTTGAAGAGTTAGCTTCGGTTTTAAGATGTGAATATATCTAACCCTATCATTTTTACTTGTAGATGGCTAATCGAGATTTGTTAAGCAGTGTGGGCCGTGAATTTTCCGGATATGTTGAAAGTGGTTTGAAGGCCATCTGTAAGATACTTTTTGTGCTTTCCTTTGTTTTGTTTTCAGATGAGTGGGAGTTTTAAATAATTGTTCAGTTGTCACAGTTATTAAGTGATGATAATTCATAAAGCCTCTCTGGAATCTGTTTAGGCAGTGGCTGAGCTAATTCCATGTTTTCATATGCAATTTCATATGAATGGTTGGTGATATGATAAAATAGGGCTGTTTGGGGATTATTTGGCCTTGATCTGTATGCCTTTCTTGAGGATTATGCAAGAATACCTGATAGATTATAACTCTTCCTTTCAAGAGAAGAGGAACCAAGTGTAGTGGCTAACACCTGAAATCCCAGCACTTTGGGAGGCCGAGGCGAGAGGATCACTTGAGCCCAGGAGTTTGAGACCAGCCTAGGCAACATAGTGAGATATCGTTACTAAAGAAATAAAATAAAAAAATAAGCCTGGCATGTGGTACATGCCTGTAGGCTTAGCTACTCAGAAGTCTGAGGCAGAAGGATCACCTGTTCACAGGAAGTTAAGGCTGCAGTGAGCAGTGATTGTGCCATTGCACTCCAGCCTGGGTGACAGAGTGAGACTCCAATTCAAATAAATAAGTAAACAAACAAACAAATAGAAGGGGAATGCCCTAAGTAACTAATAGCATCACCCCAAAACATACCTTTCAAGTACTCAGCCAGTGAGATGCTTTCCCTTTTTGAAATTAAGCAACCAATTTCTGATAGTCTAATAAGCAAATGTCTAACAAAATCAAAATTTCATTCCCATGGATAGTATAAGACTAAGGAGAAGCCAGCACAGTGGCTCACGCCTATAATCCTAGTGTTTTGGGAGGATTGCTTGAGCCCAGGAATTCAGTACCAACCTGGGCAGCATAGTGAGACACCCATCTCTTAAAAAAAAAAAAGGAGATTTTAAAAAGGATAAAGGAGAGTATTAATAACACATTAGTATTAGCAATGGGATATCTTACAAATATTTCTATAGTAATTTTAATAAAAATTGCTGTTTTAATAAACATTGCTGTTATCTACAGGATACTTTGCTAAGTGAATTTTTCAGAGAAAACCTTTCAGATTTCTGAGCATCATTTTTAAATCTTTGTTCAAATCCATGTTTTCTCTTTTAAATTGGAATGTATCTCATATCCTTCTCTTAGCCAAATGATATTCTTGACTTCTAAAATTCAGATTTTTATCATTGTTCCTTTAAGATATTACTGGGGCACTGATGCTACAGATTTTCATACTGTAAGGGGAAAAAATGTAAAGAATCTAGATCACTGAAACTATGGAGAGAAATAGGATTGATTAGCTAGTGAGAATCTCCTAAAGTTGAAAGCCTATCTGATGCAACTAGAAAGAAAATTCAAGGGGTAAACATCTCCAACTCATCTCAGATTTCTGAGATGATTACATAGACAGTAATCAATGGCAGTGTAGAAGTGATACATGAAGCTGGAGGGGTGTACTTCTTGTCAAGTCGTGACACCATATCTGAAGCATCTTTAACTTGCAGTGCAGTGTGCCCTGAGCCGCCCTGCCTTCTTTGCTGAAAGACTCTACTATTCTATGAAAGGTGCTGGCACAGATGACTCCACCCTGGTTAGGATTGTGGTCACTCGAAGTGAGGTGAGTTGGGGCATTCTCTTTTTGTCTGGTCTTACTTGATGTTGAATGTTGATTTCTTAAAAGTTCCTCAGTTGGTTGTCAGTCCCTCAGGAATTATGTTAAAAAAGAGCTCTGGGCAGGGGTTCAAGACCAGCCTAGGCAACTTGGCAAGACCTCGTTTCTACAGTAAAACAAAGCAAAACAAAAAATAGCTGGATGTAGTGGTGAAGCTGGAAGGCTGAGGTGGAAAGATCACCTGAGCGCAACAGGTCGAGGCTGTGGTGTCCATGATTGTGCCACTCCAGCCTGGGAGACAGATTGAGAGTCCAACTCAAAAAAAAAAACTGCTCTGGGGCTGAGTGCGGTGGCTCATGCCGGTAATCCCAGCATGTTGGGAGGTCAAGGCAGGAAGATCACTTGAGCCCAGGAGTTTGAGATTGAGTTGGGCTACATAGTGAGACACCCCCCCCCCATCTCTAGGAAAAAGAATAAAATAAATTAGCCAGATGTGGTGGAATGTGCACCTGTAGTTCCAGCTCATTGGGAGGCTGAGGTGGGAGGATCACCTGAGCCTAAGATGTTGAGGCTGCAGTGAACCATGATCTCATGCCACTGCACTCCAGTCTGGGTGACAGAGTAAGATCCTGACTCAATAAATGAACTCTGTTTTTCATTGCTGAGAGAGGTGGTATAAAAGGTAATACTTTCCTCATGATATGGGAGAGGCTTGCATTAGTAAAACAGGCCACTGTGCCTCAATAAAGACAGTACCAAGAGATTTTCCTGCTTAAGAAGGTCTATGGAAAATACTAATTTAAGAAAAGTTGGAAGACATTTGTCTTTTGATTTTTACTTTATATTTTATATTTTATTTTTTCTTTGAGTTGGAGTCTCACTCTGTCGCCCAGACTGGAGTGCAGTGGCCGACCGCTCTCGGCCACTGCAGCCTCGACCTACTGGGGCTCTGGCGATCCTTCCGCCTCAGCCTTCCAAGTAGTTGGAACTACAGGTGCATGCTAGCACACCCGGCTAATTTTTTGATTTATTGTAGAGATGAGGTCTCACCAAGTTGCCCAGGTGGGTCTCGAACCTGCGCAATCCACTGACCTCAGTCTCCCAAGGCACGGGACTCCAGGCTGAGCCACCGAGCCTGGCTTGATTTTTACTTTATTTATGTAAAAAAAAATTATGTAAAAGATCTATGCAGATTAATCCTATTCAAAGTTCTTGAAATTTAGCATCCCTTATTAATAAAACAATTTTTAAAATATTCATCATGGTCTTTACCTAAATATAGCTTCAAGTGTTTTTATACTTTGCTTTTATATATTTAATTTTTCTAATTGAAAGAAAACATGCAATACTAAATTATACTGAAGAAGGTAAATAATTTTTTAAGAAAACAATCAGACTGTGGTGTTTAAAAAAATTTTATGGGCCGCACTCTTGGGTCCCCTCCTGGTGTGGTAGCTTTTCTGTCCTCTCAATAAATCCTGCTTTCCAAAAAAAAAAATTGTTCTTAGACTTCAGTTTTCTAAGCAGGATTCTTTTTTAAGTTGTGATAAAATATAAATAATATAAAATTTACCATTTTAGCCATTTTTAGATGACTTTAAGTACATTCACATTGTTGTACAACCATCACCACCATCTACCCTCAGAAGTGTTTTCAACATGCAAAATTGAAAATCCATACTTCTTAAACAATAAATTCCCATTCTCCTCTCTACCAACCCCTGGCAACCACCATACAAGTTTCCGTCCCTATGTTTGACTACTCTAGGTACCTCATATTGGGTGGAGTTATACAGTATTTGCCCTTTTGTGACTGGTTTCTTTAACTTAGTATGATGTCCTCAAGGTATGTCCATGTTGTAGAATGTGTCAGAATTTTCTTTCTTTTTAAGGGTAATATTCTACTGTATGTATAGTATGCATACCTTTTGCTTATCATTCATCTATGTACAGACGAATTGTTTGTTTATATACATTTGTTTCCTCATTCATCTGTCTATGCATACTTGAGTTGCTTCTACCTTTTGGTTTTTGTGAATAATGCTGCTCTGAACATGGGTGTACAAACATCTGTTCAAGTCCCTTGCTTTCACTTCTTTTAGCTTTATACCCAGAAGTGGAATTGCTGGATCATACTGTAATTCTGTGAGATTTTTGTGTGGGTGTGTGATCATAATAATTTTCCATAGCAGCTATACCATTTTACTTTTCTGTCAGCAGTGCACAAGTGTCCCTTTTCTTGACATCCTCACCAACACTTACTGTTTTTTATGTTTCTGATAATAGCCATCATATCAAATGTTTTTTAAATGACTAATTTTTTGGTATAATAGATGAAGCTATCACTGCTCTTTTTTTTTTGGAGAAAGCAGGATTTATTGAGGACAGAAAAGCTCCCACAGTGGGAGGGCACCCAAAGGGGCTGCCCCTATCACCTGTCTTATCCAGTATTTTTCAGAGCAGTGAATCAGACCTTCATATTGGGTAGTGTTATGAATGCTAGCTATAAAATGTCAGTCACTTAGTGTTTCTTCCCTCCACCAGCTTTGATAACTATTAAGATCTTATCATTAGTTTAAAATAATTGTAATAAATACCAGTTTTCTTTTGACAGATTTTTTTCTAACAGAAATATCATTTCTTATGCAGATCGATCTTGTACAAATAAAACAAATGTTCACTCAGATGTATCAGAAGACCCTGGGCACAGTGATTGCAAGTGACACGAGTGGAGATTACCGAAAGCTTCTTCTAGCCATTGTGGGCCAGTAGGAGGGATGTTTTTAAAAGAATGAAACTATCCTTCATAGCTTATTCCTTCAAATGACTGACCTGCATGCAGCAGTATCGACCATCACCTAACCAAAAGAGCTTTTTACTAAGTACTGTATCAGGGTAATGTGCTTGGTTTGCACATGTTGTTATTGCCTTAATTCTAATGTTATTTTTTTCTCTATATACAATCAATGTAAAGCCATATCACAATGATGTAGTAGTATTGCCATGTTTGTAAACCTTCATTCTCACTAGTCATATTCTAATCAGAATGTCAAATTGAATAAAAATTGCAGCAATCTCTAAATCTGTGTAATAATATCAAATAATTTTAAGGAAGGTTGCTGAAGAAAATCCTACTAGTCCTGTTGGATAGAGTTGGTAGTATGTCAAAACTATATTACTTTTAAAAAATTCAGCCTTTTGATGTAGAAGAGTAATTTGCATCTAATTTTGCATATATTGGTTGTTTTATATTCATAAACACCTTCCACATGAAAAATAGATTAGTATTATCTTAGCACCTTTTATAAAATGGTCAAATGTTTATATGCTTTAAGCATATAGCCTATCTTTTTTCCCAGTTCTTTTTTGTTTTCCCAGTTTTTTTTTCTTTTTTAGTCATGATGGACAAATAAAAAATTGCATATAAATTTAAGTGTTCAATATGGTGTTTTGATATAAGTATTCCTTGTATAATTATTCCCACAATTAAGCTCAAGCTAGTTACATATCTGTCATTTGACATAGTTACCGTTTGTTTTATGGTGAAAATACGTAAGATCTACTACCTTAGCAAATTTCAAGTGTGCAATACATTATTATTAAGTACAGTTGCCATTATATATATTAGACCTCTAGAACTTATTCATCTTATAACTGAAAGTTTATATCCTCTGACCAACATTACCCATTTTCCCCATCCCCCACCCCGACAACCACCAGTGTGTTTCTCTAAGTTATCAACTATTTTAGATTCCACATATAAGTGGTATGCTGTGTTTCTCTTTTCTGTGTCCGGCTTATTTTACTTTGCATAATGATCTTCAAGTTCATAGTTCATCCACATTGTCATAACATGGCAAGATTTCATTCTTAAGACGGAGTAATAATCCATTGTATATACAAGTGTTTACCATTTCTTTATCCATTTTTCCATCAGTGGACACTTGGGTTGTTTCCATATCTTGGCTATTGTAAATAATGCTGCAGTGAACATGGGAGTGCGAATAACTCTTTGAAATACTGATTTTGTTTCCTTTGGATATGTACTCAGAAGTAGTAGTTCTATTTTTAATTTTTTGAGGAAGCGCCATACTGTTTTTAATATGGCTGTACCATATACATTCCCATCAGCAGTGTACAAATGGTCCCTTTTTTTCCACATGCTCGTCAACACTTACTATGCCTTGTGTTTTTGACAATAACCAACCTAATGTAGGTGAATATCCTATGTGCACTTGAAAAGACAGGATATGCTACTGTTGTTAGGTAGAGTGTTCTGTATTGGTATATTAGATCTAGTTGGTTTATTGTGTTAAGTCCTTTTTCTCCTTTTTTATCTTCTGATTCTTCTATCTGTCATTGAGAATGGGGTATTGAAGTTTCCAACAATTATTGTAAAACTCTGTTTCTCCCTTTAATTCTGTTAGTTTTTGCTTCATATATTTGAGTGATGTGTAGATGTTTACAATTGTCATAGCTTCTTGCTGTATTGAACTTTTCAATAATATATAATGTTCTTTGTCCCCTGTAACCTTTTCCAGTTTAAGGTCTATTTTATCTCATATTACTATAGCTTCATCTGCTCTCTCTTGGTTATTATTTCTAGGGAGTATCTTTTTTCATCTTTTCATTTTTCATCTATTCACATCTTCGGATCAAAAGTGAGTCTTTTGTAGACAGCATAAAGTTTGATTTTTTCCAACCCGTTATGCCAAACTGTCTTTTGATTGAAGAGTTTAATTCATTTACATTTAAAGTAATTACTGATAAGGCAGGACTTCTGTCCGATTTTTTTCCATATACTTTTTTTTTTTTGAGTCAGAGTCTTACTCTGTTGCCCAGGCTGCAAACTTATGACCACCGCATCCTCAACCTGCTGGGCTCAAGCGATCCTTATGCCTCAGCCTTCCAAGTAGCTGGAACTACAAGAATGTGCTAATTTTTTTATTTATTGTAGAGATGAGGTCTCGCCAAGTTGCCCAGGCTGGTCTCAAACCCATGGACTCAGGTAGTCCTCTCACCTCAGCCTCCCAAAGTGCTGGGATTATAGGCATGAGCCACTACCCAGCCTCCATATACCTTATTGCCTTTTTGTCTCATTTCATGTATTACTGTCTTCTTTTGTGTTTAGTAGTTGTTCTTGTAGCAAAACATGTAACTTCCTTTTTTTTTTGAGTCAGGATCTCTGTTGCCTAGGCATGAATGGTATGATCACAGTTCACCCCAGTCTTGGCCTCTTGGGGTTAGGCAATCATTCTACCTCAGCCTCCCAAGTACCTAGGACTACAGGTGCACTAAATTCCTTTTGTGCTGATAATCTTGATGAGGATCGCTTCTGTGTGACAAATCACTTCTTTCTTGCTGATTTCAAGATTCTCTCCTTGTCTTTGGATTCAGAAAGTTTGACTAACATGTCTCAGTATGGGTCTTTTTTTGTTACATTTGTTTTTGGTTTTTTTTTTTGTTTGTTTAGTTGTGGTCTCATCCTATCCCCCATGCTAGAGTGCAGTAGCACAATCATGGCTCACTACAACCTTGACCTCCTGGGCTCGTGCGATCCTCCTACCTCCGCCTCCTGTGTAGCTGGGCCTACAGACACGCACCATCACATTCAGCCCATTTTAAAAAAATTTTTTGTAGAGACGGGTCTTGCTATGTTGTCCAGGCTGGTCTTCAACTCCTGGCCTCAAGTGATCTTCCCACCTCAGCATCCCAAAGTGTGGGTGTTTTTAAGTTCATCTATGTGGAGTTCATCTAGCTTCTTGGTGTTTATGTTCATGTCTCTCATCAAATTTGGAAAGATTTTAGCTATTATTTCTTCAAGTATTCTCTCTTCCCCTTCCTCTTTGAAACTCTCTCTCACAGTGTGTATGATGGTCCATTTGAGAGTTCTCATAGAGACTTAGATTCTGTTCACTTTTTCTCAGTCTTTTTTCTTTCTTCATATTCTCTCTTCTTCATATTCAAATTTTCATTGTTCTATCTCCAAGCTCACCAATTATTTCTCCTGCGTGCTAAAATCTGCCTTTGAATCCCTCTGGTGAATTTTTGTGTTTTGGTTATTATACTTTTCAGCTCCAAGATTTTTTTGGTTTCTTTTTATGTTTTCTGTCTCTTTATTGACATTTCCATTTGTTTTCATGTATCATTTTCTTAACTTTATCCACACCTTTCTTTAGTTCTTTGATCGTTTTTAAGATAATTTTAAAAACCTCTTTGTATAATAACTCTACCAAGAGTTTGTTTGTTCTTAACTAGAAGCCAGTTGGTCAGAATACCAAATTTTTCTTTTTTTTTAGGGACTTTTTTTCCTTTTAATGGGCATACTTTCCTGTTTCTTTGTATGCCTTGTGATTTTGGTTGTTGTTGAAAATTGTACATATAGATCTAATAATGTGATAAGTCTGGGAATCAGACTCTTCCATTTCCCCAGAGTTTTATATTTTTTTGTTGTATGTGTTTATTATTTTTATTTTCTGATTGTTGTAGGCTGTCTCTGTGCCAAGGACTAGAATGAATTATAAACTTAAGGTCTTCTCATGCCTTTTTTAGCCTGTGCCTTTCCCTGGGCATGAGTGGCCACTTTCTAATATTCCCCCTATATGCAGTTGCTTTTGAATGTCCTGGTCTTTAATATCTGGCTCCCCCCTCAAAAAACCAGAGAAAAATGAAGGGTAGGGGGGAAAAAAGGGATGCCAACCCTTTAACTACCTTGGAAGCCACCTCAGCTGGAGGGAGAGGGACTTGCAGTAACAGAGGGAGATGAAACAACAGTGCCACCCCCTTTGTCTTCACCCCTGTGATCAGAAGCAGCAATCAGTGATCAGAGCATAGATAACTGATATTTGGAAGATTAGGGTCCTTTTTGTCCACCCTGGTTCCCACAAGCTGTGTGGTTTGCTCCAACTGCCTGCCACAAGATGGGTAGTTACTACTACTGTGCTAAGAGCTGAAATTGAAATTAACAGTCCAAATTGCCATGCAAGCCTTCCCTTGGAAGTTACAAACCTTCTACTCCAGAGTTTCAAAATATATCAAACAATCAGTGTAACTGTAACATCAGTGTAATTGTTGTCTGAGTGGGAAGGCAGATTCCTGGTACTTCTTACTCAGTTAACACCCTTCCCAGAGCCTTCTCCCACGCTATAGATTTTCAAGCTTTTAAAAAAGTGAGGTATAACTCACATATACAATTCAACCTTTTAAAGTGTACAAGCCAGTGGTTCTTAGCATAGTCACAAATTTGTACAACCATCACCACAATCAATTTTCATCACCCCCGAAAGGAGACCCCATCCCAATCAGCAGTCACTGCTCATCTTCCCCCTTCTGCCCAGCCCCTGGCAACCACTACTCTACTGTCTCTATAGATTTGCCTATTCTTTGCTTTTCTTTCTTTCTTTTTTTTTTTTTTTTT